TTTTAAGTAAATATCTATTATTCTATATATATTCTATATATTATACATTTTATCATAGCTTTACTTGATAATGCATGTTGTTTAGTTTTTTTATTCAGTTCTGTAACTGATAAAGCTTGAACTCTAATTTCATATAATTGATTCACTGATAATTGATATGATTTAATGATCAAATCGTACAATAATATTTGCATAAAAAAATTCAATTCGAGAGCCGAAGTCGCAGTAGATGAACACCTTCATTTACATATTATTTAAATAATTAGGTCATCTGTGGGGGAGGCGTACCTTCCAGATATCAGCTGAAGCCACTTTTTTGTTCACGATTATTTTTTACAAAAGATAATCCCCTGCATACAGGTTTTTAATTAAAAGAAAGAGAAACATAAATTAATCTTTTTTCTTAAGGCTGACAAGAAAGAAGTTGAAACAAAACAGGTAAACAGAAATGAATAAAATCTGCTGGCATGAGACAAATTATTAACAAATTGTGTTAATATAGGATTAGATAAGAGATATGTTATGAGTAATTTTAATGAATTGTCTTATTTGTTATTACTTTTTTGATAGTCTTCTGTGAGTCAGAGGATTCTATAACTATAATGGTAACAAAATTAAGCAATTTTCCCTTATCTAAAACAAATATAATTATGCTTTGTCTTTCTTAATTGAGCTTACACAGGGTATTTCCAAGTCGTTCATATAACTTGTATACTTTTTTTGAATTTTTTTTTTACACATGCTAATCCCTTCTGCTGGATTCACTTCGTGCTCTTTGGCTAGATTTCGAGTTACGCCTCAAACGCTTTTCAGATTTGCCCATAAAAAATGTGTTGACATTGCCGAAGAGCGGAGGCGCCCGCATAGATAGCATAAGTCATGTTGGGCAATTTATGGCATTTATCGAACTTTCCAACAAAGCCAACCAATGCTGCCAAAGGCCACATGAAAATTAAAAACTCACTCACTTTGCAGGTAGCAAAAAAGGCTCCAAATGATGCAGAACAGAAGAATATTCTAGTCGTATATATAAAGACAAAAGTTGGTAAGAAAAGCTACATAAACTAAAAAAAATGTATCTTTTAGAAACATTTTCCTCTTAAGCTTCGAGTAAAAGATGTTGGCCATTTCTTGTGCTTTACAAATTGAAAGTCATGAGTGCAATCAAATGAAAATGTTTCTCTGGCTTTGTCTTAATTTCCTGGGGGTGCTTAGTTTTTTGTCCTCGGTGTATTTTCGTCAGCGTAATGCAAAATTCATTTGGAAAAATTGCCAACGCTGACCAATTAGAATTAAAAAGCCAGCAACACCTGTGTCAACAGACTCACGTGTCACGCCATGCCACAGGGGGAGCAGCGCCCTTGGGGAGTTGCCGAAGGACATGCCGACTGCGGCACGGGATAGGACAATCAATCATGCAGCTTGGCTCCCGATTTCAATCTAAATGTTAAATGCATGCGGGAAGCCTTAATAAATCTACGAGGAGTAGTAGGATACCTAAGCTGCCAAGGGCATTGACTTCACACACACACACAGACAGTTCAACAATTAATGAAGTGCGCCTAATTAATGAAAATGAATATTTAGCCACAAGATATTAATAATATAATACAAACAAGTTTACTCTGCATGAATTCGCACGACTATCAGCATTGGCTGTATGCCACTTAAAGACAATTTTATAACTATTGTAATACCTATAAAACCAAAATAAACAATGGTTATAAAGTCATAAATGTTAATTAAAAAGAAGGTAAAAGAGGTATATAAAAAGTGAAAGCCTATTAAATTATTTTCTTAGAAACAATCTCAGTTTACTTGATTGGCATTAAAATCCGATAGGGAAAAGTGCCGAATCCAGCTGTATTTAATGAGAAAATGATATATGCAATGCAGATCACACTTTCCATAGAAGAAAGAGCTGCTCTTGCAGAAGGTATGTCAACACGAAATGGATACTATAATAGAGCAAATGTGTAAAAAGAAAGATGCTTGAGAAAGAGTCTAAGCCTTTGTCGAACAGATATTGAGGCGAAAAAAGTGAAAAAAAATTAGGATCACTGAGCCCCCAGCATAATGGAAAATGCAGTACAAAGACCGATCCAAGGTGTGAGCCAGCCAAAGAAAGGACAGATTTTTAGTCGATAAGCAGCAAGTGTATAAAACAAGGGTATTTTATCTTTGACTTATGAAATAAGCTTGTTATGGCTTCATCATTTATTACTACGAATTTAAGCAACGTTAATGTTTTATATGCTTATAATAGGCTCTCTTATCCACATCCACTCACTACTTGCTGTAATAAAAGCTTTATTCATGTTGTTGGCAATGCAAATAATTTAATGCGTTTAATTAAAAAGGAGCAGCAGAAAAGTTGTAGTAGCTAAAATGAGTTGAGCTCAAGAGTTTGAAAATTGTTTTTCCATTTGAGATACACACACACCCACACAGACACAGTACCAAACATACACATACAAATTGAGTGCTAATTAAATTAAGAAACAAGCAAAATAGTTTTGCACTTGGCTCAAAAGTCAGCGCCAAAGGCAGCTGAGGAACTGCATCGAGCAACTTTTCCTGGGTCGTTTCTTTGGTTTCTGTTTGTTTTGGTTGCGTGTAAATGAGCTCAAATTTGTTGTGCAAATAGCGCTTGCTTTGAGCAGAAGGGAGGAAAATAAGCAGGCGACCAGCGAGTGTGTGCGTGTATCGGTGTGTGTGGGTGGGCGGTAGACAATTTTGCATGCTTTTTGCACTTTATGCACTGTGAGAAATCAAAAGTTATTAAAATTTTATGCAAATATTTTGCAGGCAAATTTAATAGTTAATAAGTTTCCATGATTATTCGGTCTTTGTTATAAGAATTGATTTAATTAAATACTGAAATACAATAGTCAGACTCTGCTACAGACTTCCAGCATAATTATTCATGCAGCAACTTTGCTGATTTGTTTATCACCCTACTATGCGATTCTCATAAACGTATATAACCTTATTGTGTAGTCCCATCAGTTTTATCTCTCACCACTCTATGGATTTTACACGGTGTCTGCCTTTCTCTCTCTCCAACTCTCTCCATCTTAATTTATATCTCCCTTTCTCCTAGTGTCTTTCAATCTCTCTCTGTCTCTCTCTGTCTCCCTTTCTCTTCCTCTCTCTCTCTCTGTCTGTCTCTGTGTCTCTCTGTCTCTCTCTCACTCTCTCTTTCTCCTCTTTCTCCTTCTCTCTGTCTGTCTGTCCCTCTATCTTTCTCTCTCCCTCTATCTCTCTCCCCTTTCGCTCCCTCACTCCTTTTCTCTCTTCTCCTTTGTCTCCCTTACTCTACTTTCCTCCCTCTCACTTTCTCTCTCCCTCTATCTTTGTATCTTTGCCAACTTCCTTTTTCTGCACTCAATCCATCCATAATTAATCATGTTTAACGCTATTCACTTTCACACTTTAAAGTTTTTTCAGTGTACTTAAAGCATGCAAATCTGTAACCACGAAAAACAATTGCAAATTAGATATGCACATATGTTAGTGGAAATGCCAAACAGCTTAAAAAACAGGCAACACTCAATGCAGCTCGACCGCAGAAAAAAGAAAAGAAACTGGGCACGGAACACGGATTGCATCTGGAACGGCAGATGCAGCTTCTGTTTCTCAGCTGCTCAGCTGCAGCTTTGGGTCTGAGTTACCGCAAGGACGACCAAGGCGCTGGAGTGATTGCAAACAGGGCGCAAATGCAGCGCATAAAACTAAAACCAACAAACGGGCGGCACAGCAACATTTGACGAGCAGCGAGGGGCGCGGGGCGAGGGGCTGGCGGAAGCCGGAAACGGAAGTGCCAGGCAGAAGACAAGCCTCGGAGCTCAGTGAAGCAGGAAGCTGGCATAGCTGGTTAGCTGGCAAGTGGCTGTGCCCAGAAGCAAAACCGGGCTAATGCTGCCGGGTGCAGCAGGCAAAGCCTCAAGCATGCTTGAGATGCAAAGTAAATGCGAAACCACAGCAAATTATGTTGAGAGTTGGATGCGGAGGCCACGAATGTGAAGTTTCAAGCGAATGGCTTAGCGCTGCTCTACCCGTGCTCTGCTCAGCTCTGTCGTGCTGTGTACCATGCACGATAAGGCTCTGGCACCGCAGCTCTCAAGTGATTTTACCTGAGTGTGCCTTGAGCAGGTGTCTGTTTAACCATTATGTTTAGTTGCAGGCAATTTGTTTTTACCATGTTCCCCGAAAATAAGCAACTAAAAACGTGCAGCGGCAACACGAGAAACGAACATTTTTAAGATGCTACAAAATGTACGAAGCCGACGCACCACTTGATAACACTAAGCTACAAAAATTGGGCTAAGAATCATAGCTAACTAAAGTGAGAGGAGATCTGAAGAAGAATAGCAGTAAATGAATAAAAGAAAATTACAATAAGGTACGGACAGATAAACGGACGGACAAACAGTCTGACAGCCGGAAGGACAGTCGGACGAATTGTCCGACGAACAATCGGACGAACGGATAGACAGTCGGAGGGACAGTTGGACGGACAATCGAGCGGACAGTCCGAAAGACCTCCGGACGGAAGGACAGAACATACAGTCGGACGGAGGGACGAACAGATGAACGAACGGTCGAACGGACAGCAACACATTGCTCAAAAACAATACACTTCTCAGTTGAGGAACAAATACCAAGTCATATAAAATCAAGTTTTTTATTTCATCTGATTTTTACTATCTGCTTTTTACTTTCCTGTGCTAAGACCTAAAGCTGAGCTTCCCCGTTACTCAGCTACAGTAAGCGAACAAAGGGACTGCGTCAATCCCGCTCTTATGCATCATTGCTGATCAAAATAAATGTTATGTTGTCTAGTGTAGTGCATAACGAGGCTCGAGCCCTAGCAGGCATGCTAACTGATTAAGTTGCCAGCAACAAAATGTACTTTATTAACAACAACAAAAAGGGCAATGAGGCAGGCATGCATGCAGCCAGGCAGCAACAGCGGTAGTAAAAGTTGAAACCATAGCTCACAGCTCATCATGTCCGAAAAGAGTGTAGCGATGCTTCGAGGGACCCAGATGCTTGAAGGTGGATAAGGGCGGCGGTACCTCAGAAACATCCTGTTCGATGGCATTCTTTATTTGCAGCGTAAACATCCTCTGATGGTTGCTAAAATTACGAATGAACTCCTTCAAATGGCCCGGGATGTACATATCACTAAACCTTTCATAGGGAAACATAAACTTCAGCGAATCGATGGCAATTATGGGCATATCCTGAAGTGTGCGGCCCATGTGGAGTATCGAATGCTGAAACCTGAGCCCGTCGACGGTAACAAAGTTGAATCGCCCACAGTCCGAACAGTTCGACAGCTGCATTTCCACAATCGCTTTGTAGTCCTTCACGGACGTCATGTCGTGTGGCATATGGAAGAGGACGAGCAGCGGCAATCGTTCCTCGATTATCTCCTCCACATTATTAAAATCCACCGCACGCACCAGCGGCACACACTTCTTATAGATCCAATCCTCCAGATCTGTGGGAGATGCCAAGTTACCACCAAATAACTCATCTGCAGCATGGGTGCGCGCAAGGTCCGGTCGATAGACCACTGTAGGCATACGTTGCGTATACGCAACGCTGTCCAACTTGGCTCCAATTCGTATGTAGAAGTCGCAATCGTTTTTATAACGGTCAGCCAGCACCTCGAATACACCTGCATCTGGCTGCTTGCGACTCTCGAAGAATCCAATCACCGAACGTCGCTTCACATTGATCGCTCCCAACTCTTCGATAGTGTTGAATGTCTTGATCGAAGATCTATACTGCTTCTCCACATAGCTGACCAGTGCGTCAACCGAACGCTGTCCTCGATACTCCCGACGCAGCGGATGACCACGATTGTATAGCCGCAGCGTTGGGAATTTGGTGATGCCGCATCTATTGGTCAGCTCCTCCTCCCGCACGCAGTCGATGCGGGCTAAACGGACGCTCGCCGTGACTGGCAGCGTCTCCGCCAGGAGCACGGCCGCTGCCTCAAAGATCGGCGTTAGACGAGCGCTAAAGTGGCACCAATCGGCATAGAAATTAACAAAGACCAACTCATGCGATGCCAAAGTGCTGTTAAAGTTCGCCGCTGTGATCTGCAAGACACTCGAAGACCTAGCTGGCAATGGTATAACTGCTGATGCTGATGCTGATGCTTCGGCTGGTGGTGGCGGCTCATCTGCAGCTGATGTGCTCTGCAGCAATGACGGACATAGCAGCAACGCTAGCCAAAACGAAAACAACATTTTCTAAATGAATAATACGTATTTGCCTCAAGCGAACGTTGTCAATTATGTAACTCGAATTTTGTCGCGCTTGACTCGATAAGTTCTGAATTCTTGCAGACGCATAACAAATATATAATAAATTTCTAAGCTAAGATTATACAATACAAAATGATTTGACGTAAAAATACAGATTATATTTCTACTATAATATGGTTAATTCCATAAGCAACTATAATGAGATAAATCCTAATATATTGAGAGATTTGAAAGGGATAGATAAATAGAGCTGACGATGTGTGAGTGGATCTTTAATATAGTTTGAAGATAATTAAGCTGAATTCTATATTTCTTTAAAGTAAACTTTATACTGCTATAAGCTATAAAATTGTAATGTTCAAAGGCTTATCTAAAGCAGCATTGATCCATTCTGTGTAAGATATTTTAAGCTATTTACTCTATCTTGAAGCTGTTGCCTTGCATACACAAAACCCAAGGAAATTGTTAATTTGGGGTATATTATCTTAGTTGACATTAAGTAGTAGGCTTACCCTAAAAATATAGGACAAATATTAATAAGGACGAGCTTAGTATGTCTGCCCATCCATCCGTCAATGCATAAGTCCATCCATTCCTCCGATTCATCCGTCTGTATGAACGCATTAATCACGTCATATGCAGTGCCAAAACATTCGAAATTTTACATAACGTTTTCTCCACAAAAATCGCTAATCATGTTATTTTTAAAATTAATTGACTAACCTTTGCATGTCTTTTTCATGAAATCGATTAAGTTCGGCATTCGCGCTTAAAGCATATCAAGGGCTAAAGTTACCAACGATTATCGCTGGGATTAAATGGCTAAGGCAGCATATACAAACATATATCTTTAGCTGATCAAAAGTCCAATGAAAATAAACATACAAATAGTAAGCTGAGAGTTCGTCCTGGCTGCAGAAAGGACTAAGCTAATATTTGCAGCTGCAGCTCCACAAATCACAAGTCGTGGATGAGTTTGCATTGGCAGGAAAATGTTGGGGTTGTTGCTGCTGTTGTTGTTGCTGTTGTCGTGGCTGTCGTCAACATTTCAAAAGGACCTCAACATGACGGAAACGGAAACAACAACTTGCCCGCACTGCCCGCTTAGGGCACGCTCCTTGCTCCGTGCTCCTTGCTGCTGCTCGTCCTGGCTGCCTTTTAATGACATTTTTGCGCCCATTTGAGCTTCCGTCGCTGGCTCTGTCGATTTTTGCAATAATTTACTTAAGAAAAGTCTAAATATGTTTGCCAAGAGCTGCTCTTACCTCTCCATCGGCCTCAACTTTATTGCCAGCAATTTCTAGCAGGCTGCCAGGCAATTGTTCATGGCGTTTATCTTCAGCGTCTGGCGATAAAATGTTGTACAAAATCCATGTGACTTTATGCGACAATATCCAATAAATCTACGCTTGGCCCCAAGGCCTGAGTCTGACCCCCACACAGGCGAGCCGGAGTTGGGCTAGAGTTGACCTTCACAGCCCTTTCAACGCCAACCCTTTGGCATTTGGCATTGTTTGCATTTGCTGCGTTGTCTGCGCCCTTTCAAAGGGTTTAATTGTGCTTTTTGTCTGCCTGTTGACATAGGTATAGTCATCCGTCCATATGTCTCTCTTCCTCAATACCCGACTCTATTCAGCATTGGTTTCTGGCTAGCGAACGTGTTAATTAACTTGTATAAATCAAGCGATAATCAACTGAATAATCAACTGAGAAACTGCTACAAATATGAGGGCACAAAGCTAATGAAAGCTGATTTAGATATGTTGTATCGGAGATTTTTATATTATTATTATTATATATTTTTTGTATTAGTAAAATTATTACTTAATATGTTTTTTTTCTAATTTTATTTTGTGTAGTTATTAGCTTTTTATTTAATTATTTTTTATTTTTTATATATCTTTTGTGATAAAAATTTTCAATTTTAAATTTTTTAAAAATTTCATATACATAATATAATTATTTTATTTTCTCACCTGACTAATTCAATATATTTTTTTATTATTCAAATGATAACTTATTATTAATTTTAATATTTTTGTAATATTATTTTTATTATTTTAATTTAGTCAATAAACAATAATTTATGAAATTTAATGAAATGTTTTAGATTTAACAACCTAATGATTATATTGCAATATTTGTCAGCTCTTTTCTCTGACGTCCTCCAAAGTAAGCTTTTCCATAAAGCATTTTAAGTAGCCATAATAAATCCAATGCTCGAAAAGCCAATGGCACAATGCAGCTTGGGTCCATTTAAAAGTCAATTCACAAAGCCCGTCAAAGCTGCAGCAGCAAATCCTTTTCTGCTCGCCCGCGAATGCGAATCCGAATGAACAGCTCATAATTCTCGCGAGATTGAATTTCTGCAATGGATGCGCCTTCTTCTTTTTTGAGATGATAAATGCCGCTTGCCACACAAACGATTTGTTGCGCATACTTTCGAGAGAAATTTATGCGAATTTGTAATGCAATTCATAAGCCGCAACGTTGCAGAATGCAACGTTTACAGAGTTGCAATTTATTGTGGCGCAGAGTTGTCAATGCTGGCAAATATATTATGCCCTCCCCCTCCCATTCCGGGCCATCTGAATGCTGCTTTCTGGTTGCTGAAAACGATTTTATATGTTAATCAGCAGCCATTTCGCTCCATAGAAATAAACTGGAATAAATATTCTTGATGTCAGTTGTAATGAAAAAAATATATTTGATATTGTTATGGAGCAGTTAAGAAGTTTAATGGCAAAATAAATATATTTTAATATTATTGAATTGAAGTAACTTTGTTTGCAGTTTTTCCTAACCTAACATCTTAAGCCCATTGCAACTGTATTTCTTACATATTATATGTACGTAAACAACAACTGAAAGCTTTTAGAATAACGCCTTTGTCAGCAGCAGCAGCTTTCGAAACTTTCTCTAAAGTATTTTTCAATACCTTTAAATACCCTTTAATTTAGAGTCACTCTCAAAGTATGCCAAAGAAAATGAAGTCACAGGCAAATAACGGTCCTTGTTTCAACATGCCATAATCATGATTCAACTCCTTCGGGTGTCATAAAACTTTCAGCTACAAGCAAAGTCAATCCCTCTGTCTCCCTCTCATCTTTTGCCGACCTCACATGCATGAGTTAACGCCATCTACTGGAGACAAGTTTAATTATTGAGCTGTGCACTGCCGCCATTTTGATGCTGCGCCTCACTTTACAATTTGTTTGCTTAGTCATTGAGTCATTTAGTCGTGCAGTCAGCTAGTCAGTCTGTCAATGTTGACAACGCAGCGACTTTGCCGTCGCCAACTCTAAACGCTTCAGTTGGCATCTTTGTGAGCAGCGACGCTGACGTCGGCAGCGCATTAAAACAATTTTGTTAATTAAGTAGGAAAAATTGTTAGTTTATTTACTCATCAACTTTGCCAGTGCCCATACCTACGACTCCCACATACTCTCACTGCACACACTTCACTCTCTTTCTCTCCCTCCTTCCCTCTCTTTGTCTATCTCTGTCACTCGCATTACCTTTACTCCTCTGCCTCGTGCCTAGTCCTTTGGCAAGTTTTTCGCCTAGCGCGGCAAGTTTTGCAGTTTGCTTTGTGCGCTGCCGCTCAAAAATTCTCAAGTGCACAATTAATTAGTAAAGTTGGCAACGCCGACCGAGCAAGCAAAAGCGGATCGCAATTTTCAACGCTCTTGGAATTTATGGTCCGTTCTGATTAGACTGAAGTCAGCTCCCATTTAGGACTTCAACTAAATAGCTAAGCTTATCGGCCATTTTGCCTGGAAGTGGATGTCGCTGTTGGCTTTCTTTGCTTGGCGTCAAATTGAAAATTGATTGGAAATTGCATAAGTAATGAAAGTGATTCGTGGACCAATCGATTGCACCAATTCAATCACTTCGTGTATCACTTTGTATTTTACAAAAGCTCCATTGTTCAAACTAAAATTAAATTGAATAGGCTTTCCAAGGCGCTTAAGAGGAAAGCTGATTGCCAGAGCCTACAAATAAATTAAATACGTTATTTTCGTTGAAAATCAATTTGCGACAAACTCATACATTTTTAACACGTATAAACAAATAAGTTTCGTTCAAGAAAATATAAAAGCATATGTAAATAATAGAATAAATAAATGTACAAATACTACAATAAAAAAGTGCATTAAATGTTAATAAAGAATTTGTAAGTTCTTGGGATATAATCAAAATATATGGTTTTAAATTTAGTATTAAGGAATTTAAATTTAACTAACAGACGCTTTCTATTTAGTTGCTGTAAAAATTTTTCTGTTAACTAACATTTTGTAATTTTTAGCAAGCTCCCTCTGTCGACTACTCGCCGAACTATAAAAAGTGCAAACAAAATGCAATGTAGCTCTCAAAACACTACGCCTTGCGTCTCTTCTTATTTTGTTTGGCTGATATTAATGTCGGCAATTTAAATAAGCTTATTGTACACTTAAACATGTATTGTTTATATCATATAAAAGTTACAAATATAGAATGTATAAAAAAAAAATAAAATGAATAATCCAAACTGGAATGCATCAGAGTAGTAAATTGTCGCATTCGTGAGCTACACTTATCGATAGATTTTTATAATAGACTACATTCAATATGAAACCAATTAGATTACTTAAAATTTTTTACTATGCCAAAACTAAAGATATAAGCTTAAACTTTTTTGTATTTAAATTCATACAAGTATATTAATAAGAGTCAACAAATAGTTTATTTTATGACGTGATCACCTTAACAAACAGTTAATCGATAGTCTTGTAGCATCTCTAATTTATTGATTACGGTCACATTGCCAGGGCGTTGACAAGGCGTTGTTGTCGTTTCATAAACATATTTTACATCTTGTAAATAACAAATTTATTTATGAAAAATGGTTGTCTTAAGCTCCTGCTGGTCACCAATAATTTGGTCTACTAATGTGCGCACAGGCAGCTATGCAGTTGCCGCCTACACGGCAGCTCTAAGTGTCGTTTTTATCACACTTATTTCCTACATGCTCGCTGGCGGAGAATCTGGACAACTTTATTCACCTCTATTTGAAACGGACATAAGGACATCAATGCCAATAGCTGGGGGTTTTTTTATAATATACTTTCTGCTGATTATAATATCATCCTATCTTGTGTATTATGGCATTAAAATAAGGTGAGTGTACAAGTATGGAAAATGTCTTATAGTTCATTAATTAAACCATTTCATAGTACGCGTGGTTGGCTGTTGCCCTGGCTATTTTTCATTGGACTTGCAATTCTATTTCAATTCGCTTGGAGCCTTTGGTTAATTGGAGGTTACTACATATATGTGAGTATATAGCTAAGCACAATAATACATTTTGATTGATTTGTGACTAAATAATAATTTACTTAACAGTTGGAGCAAACATTCTCAGCGCTTCTTAACTTCGTTTGGGTCGCCTATAATGTAAGTAGAATTAAAGCTACGATCTTACAATAGTAATTACAATTTGAGCTATCTTTTCATTTAGTTATATTGCTGGCTCGTGGTTTTCTCGCAATACCAAATATTTTTGGAGATACAGAATCCAAATATCGAACTATTGATGCCTTAAGAACGAGTCTAAATTCGAAATGCCAATCGAATATTTAAAAATTTAAATGAATCTTCATTCTAAGTTTTATTTATAAGTATAAATGACCATACAAACACTCCGTCCATAGTCTACATATCAATAACGCTGTATTCCATTTTAAAAGTGTCTTATATACATATACATACATATTCAATTTACACATATGTATTCTATACAACACGCAGAGAATATTATACATTTACATTTATAGAAAACTAAATTGGTTTGTTTTCTCTTTATCTACTGTACAAATCATATTATAGCTAGCATATCAAATTGTATATAAATTATGGATTCTACAATTCTACAAATTGGATCTGGAAGCTAGCTTTTAGCTGAGCTTTGGCTATTGAACAGTATAAAATATCGAATGTTTATTTTAGCATTTGTTAAATTTTATTTTATACATCGTATATATATAGCTTGAACGTTTATACAGATATTGACGAACCTTTTAAACCACCGAAAGCAAAATGTGGTATGCATTGGGGCGAAAGTAATAATACAATACAAAGTTAAATTTGCGAATGGGTGTATGTTTACATATTAACTATAATTGTAAGAAGCGAATAATTTACATAGTGCTGAGCCCTGGTCTAATCGTAATGGCTAAGAGTGTTTAACACAAAAAACTGTTTTAACCAAACATTATTTAAGTTTTCTCCTCTTTTTCCTTATTGTAGCGCTCCAGCTCCTTAAGAAATTGCGCCTTCGGCTTCATGACGTTGGGTCGCTCGCCGCGGCAGTTCGGACAAAACCATTTGCCCTTCGGTTTAAGCACAAGTGAAACGCACGAGAAATGGAACCACTCGATGGGACACAAGTCATTGTCACAGAGTATCATTTCGCCAAACGAAATCTAAGAAGAAAGTCAAATAAATAATTGCACTACTGTTTTTTCGCCTTAAATCTCACCTGGTTGCACACGCAATACGTTGGCTCATCCGGATCGATGGTCTCTGGCGGTGGCGTTTCCTCGCGAGTATTTGCCGCTGTATTTGTAGCGCCCGCGCCGCGCACTTTACGTTTCTTCTTTTTGCCGGAATTGCTGCCGCCGCCATTGCCGCCGGCTCCGCCTGTTCCACTGGCCACGTTTCCGCCTGCCAACTGAACTTGGCTCTTACGTTGTCCCAAGCCACTGCCACTGGCCATTGAAGACTTGCGTTCACTGTTTCCATTCCCACTGCTACCAGCTTCATTAGCTGAATTGGATTCATTGCCGCCCATTTCAGTGGAGCTGCCATTGTTGGGTAAACTCTCGTTGCGTCGCCTTGAACGTTTGCTGCCCGAACGCTGAAGGTCACTGTTGCTGCCACAATAGGAGCCATTGTAGCCATTGCCACTACTGCTCATATGGTTGGAACGATCATAGGTGGGCGTCGAGCTGCCGCCATTACCACTGACGCCACCGGTTGAGGCCGACACGCCAATAACACCGCCGAACGGCAGTGCACCATAATGCTCCTTCGAAACGTTGGCCGTGTTGCCGCCTAATCCGCTACTATTTAACACATTGTTTCCCGCACTGTTGCCCTGATCACACATTGGACTCTGTAACCGCTGCAGTTTTGAGGGTGGCCCATCGTCCAGCTGTGCGTACCGTTCACGCTCTTCCTTCAAGTCGAGATTCTTTTGATCTGTATCCAATTGTCTAACCTTACCGTCTATTATCTCCTGCAGTAGATTCACAATTTGCATTTTCTCATCGCCCAGCTCCTGTGCCTGTATAAGGCTCTGGTGCATGCGCGTTATGGAACGGCAACGGCGATTGGTGTCGGGGGAGTTCTGATGCAGCACATAGAGGTCATAGTAATGATCCACGTCCCGTATTAATCCTGTAAAGAGCCAGAAGTTCAGATAGGTTAAGTGAGAATTTTGCTGCTCGTTGGTGGATTATTTTGTAGCTTACCTCGGTACTGAACGTCGATATCCCGTATGCGAGAGAGTTGGCGTTGCACATCGTCGGGCAGATTCTCCACGGAATCGAGATAATTATCCACATAAGTGGCCGAGTTTATGGCCTCAGATTCGGATGCAATCATGTTGTGAATTGGCTTGATACACTTGCTAATTGCGGTCCTACGACATTGATTTGAGTGCTACGGTACGGTTCATTACAAACTAACTCTGAATTAGATGTGTGCAAATTGGTCAACTGAGTTTTTACGCTGCAAAATATAAGTTTCAATTTTTTTAAGATGTTGCGACTGTACGCCTGTATTTGTGTATGTGCATGTGTATAGTTTGGGTGTTGGAAAACAATCAAATACACTCTGTAAACGAGAACAGTAGCCGTGCGTTAACAGTGCTGTTTAAGTTGAATTCCGCGTTAGCATGATACGAAAAATGCGTTAACATAAGACTGCTATGCCAATTACTATAGTTAAAACCACCCTATTTATAAGTTACCCGTTGTGAATACTCTGTTATATATATATATTATCGTTTGCTTAATCGTACGGGTATTTTAGGGAATTTATTGAATTATCTTTACCGTAACAGTATTGGAAAACACTTTAACAGTAAATTAACAGTTCATAATGAGTACAAACAATGTGCGCGCAAATATTTAAAATATTTAAATCGTTTTCTAAAAGACAGTTTAAGTATATATCTTTCAATTTTCTTAGCATATTCGTTTTCATAGAGAAGGTTATCAATGCTTACATTTTTTTCCATACATATATATTTAAATTTTATAATCAATAAATTAGAATTTTTAAATTTTATAATAATTTTAAGTCTGCTGCGTATTGGTAGAGGATATTAAATCAGCGCTCCCAATTGGCAATACAATTTATGTCCAGATTCATTAAAAATTATGTGGTATTTCTTAGCTTGACTTTTAGATCTTGAATAGTTGCAATTGAAAATGCAAGTCTTTATCTAGCCAGCAGGTGCAAGCCTGTGTGATTATTTTGCAATATGAAACATCTGTCTATAACGATTTGAAAACATTTTTGGGTATTTCACAATACACCGCAACCTGGGCAGCCATATGGAAATGGGGTTTCACCGACACGCAATCAACGTGCTGCAAACAGAAGCAAAGACTAAGACCAAAGTTTAGCTAAAACACTTACTGCAATGTCAACCGGGCCGGGCTGGGGTTGTGGGTCTTAGTTGAAGCTTTTTTATTTTTGTTTTTTTGTTTTTTGTTAGTATGGAAATATTTTTTGGGTTGCGCTGTAATTTTGGCATTTATCTGACTGCAGCACAGCGACAACGAGCTCATTCAATTAACAGACGCGTTACATGCGGCTCGGCGCTGCTCTCCGGCTCCTTCTATCGCGCTAAGTGCATAGTGTACGTGATAAATGTGCGAATTCCTAGCACTCGCGCCAATATGTCCAGCGTTTTCATAGTGTTGTTGCCTCTCTGGTGCTTACTTTCCCCTATTCAACCGGCAAAAGGTTGTAGATAAAGCAAAATCTTTTCCTAGCCTCTTTCTCTCTCTCTCTCTGTCTCTTTCTCTCTGCGATAAGATCTTCATGTGAATCGTGTTTTCTTTTTTATTATTATATGCTCGGATTGTCCAATAGCTAAATTCGGCTTGGAAGCATTGCAATTTCTGTTACGCAACGGAAATTTCGATTTAAATCCATTTAATTGCCATATATTATCGTGGAGCACGTGCCCCATGGCATACATTGGATATCGTCTATATACCAGGTGAGAGAGATAAGAGAATTTATAAAAGAAATTTATCAATAAGTGTGATTAATATAATGGAAATTTTGCACTTTCCTTAAGAGCCTTTTACGTATTCAATCAGAATGTGAAATCAGAAAATTAAGATATTATTTTATGATCTCAAATATACCTTGCGAAGTGCTCATATCTCAAAGGCCCAACGCCTTAAAGCTTCTCTAGCATCAGTTTCTAGTTTCACTCGAGTTTAACCGGTTGCTCAATACTCGTTCACCTCTGAAGACGGCCAAAATTTATTTACCTGCAAAACAAAGGCAGCCTAGCTCTAAGACAGTGAAGTTTAAAGTTTCTTTCTAACTTGGCACGACCTCAGTAAGTGGTTTCAAATATTATGTGCACATTTTAGCTATCTATAATTAATAAAACGAGGAGGTTATTAAATTGTGATAGAAGAAAAGTTCACCCATTGTCATTTATTTACTAGTTTTTTAATTTATTTATTATTTATTTTGTCTTAATTTTTATACCTTTCCCAAATCACTTTCCTTTTGCATCGTTTAATTTATAAAAAACCTTCAACCTATCCTCCTAGCCATTTGTTTTCAAATATGTAAATATAAAGAGAAAAAAATGCCTAGAGCAAAACACTTGCAAGACCTTTCCATGTCCTCAAAGTGTGCATTGTTCGAAGCTGAGTCCAGTTTAGCTCGCCCAACTTTTACCTCATCCATAACTCGGACTACATTTAATCTTAAGAAAATCTTTCACTTTTTATGTGCCCTTGTTGGGGGCTTCATATATTTTGTCACAAGACAACTTTGGTTGCTTGCTTGCAAAGAGGCCAATGAAAAAGTGAAAAAGTTGGAAAAGTTGAAAAATCATTTATTCGGTGCACAGCATGAAATTGGCCTGAAAGACAAAGATTTATTAGATAATATTTTGGAGATACGTGTAATGAAGTATAATTGCCTAAGATCATATGAAATTATCCTATTGAAGAAACTGAAACTAAAATTGATCGAAACGAAAGACTTAGGCAACAAACTTGAAAGCCTTCTACGTTTATTGCTTAACACTTTCGTTTCAATCTTTCATAACAATTAGCCAAATAAAAAAACGACCGCAAAGTGAGTGCACGCATTAAAATATATATCTATAACCATTGGAAATTTACATAATATCGTGCTTAAGATAAATGAAAAACTGCTCAAAAGGAAAACAAATTACAGCTCCGAAAACCGCGGATGATAACACACGGCGCCAGGTGACGTTGACTGCGAAAAAGCGAAAACAAAACAAAAAACCAAAATACAAACTCAAAACAAAGTCAAAAAAAGCCAAAAAATGTTGAATATTGAATACCCTGTAAATGCTGAGAATTCCTCAGAGGGACTAAAGACTATGTGAAATTGCCATATATAAAACATCCCATTTAGTCAAGCTTTCAGTTACAAACAAACAATATATATATATATATATATATATATATATATATATATATATATATATATATATATATATATATATATATTTGCTATGTATTCATTTAATTTCTTCAACTAGTTTTTATCAAACTAAAATTTATATTCTCAATTTGAGTTGATTTTATTCATCTCTTGCAACACTTTCATCTTTATTATACTGTTTAAGCACTTAGTTTATGGCAGTAATGCATTGATCCAGGTAAGATAACATCTCATATAGCCAACTGGATGTTGAATCGTTAACAAAGCAAACTACTTTGGCGGTAATATCCGCTCAACGAAATTGTATACAAAATCAGTGCAGCGTTGCGTGTGAGTTTGCAAAGAAAACGTCAGCCAAAAGCGTTCGAGTCTGGCCAAAGTCAAGGCAGCGGCTGCGACAGCGAAATTCTTTGGCAGCAACTGCATTCGCGTTGCTTATTTTTCGCTTCGCATTCGAAGCGCATCGCACGAATGGGCAAGACGTGAAAAGCAATCGCGGTTCAATTGTGAAGAGATTCAAACTCTAATTCGACAATTTTATGTGCTAACTAACTAACTTAAGCTATGTGAAAAAAAGACATCAAATTTAATCAATGAATTAATAAAGTATATTCACATTTGCGAGCTGTTCACAAGACATTGTCTATGCCGCTTAAGCGACAACTTTTTATATCGAATTGAAAAACATTTGAAAGCGTGCAAAAAACTTGTTGCACTTACAAAGAGAAAGGACAACGATTTTTAAGCGAGAAATTTGAAATTTTCAAACAATAGTTGCAAAAAAATAATAAAAATATTCCAAAGAAATCTATGCAATTATTATGTTTTAAACTATATTCACTTCTCTCATTCAAGTTTGATTTAAATTATTAAATTATTTCAGCTATAATGAAATATATAAATCAATTCAATGCAATTAACTAAAATAAAATAAATTAAAATGAAGTAAAAAAGTAAATTGTTAAACTATTGAACTGTGTAATTGTGCTAAGAATAATTGTAAAAATTATTATATTTAAAAAAAAACATACATATATATAATAAAATTAATATAATAATAGAAAATATAAAAGTTTAATAAAAAATATATGAAATAAAACATAGATTCAATTGAATCCTTACTAAAATGAAATATAGTAAGCAAAAGCGTTTAAGGTTCAAAAAATAATTGAAGAAAAAATAAATAAGCTAAAAGCTAATAAAATTAATTCCCAATCATTTTATTTATGAAATATTTAATTTATATTTATAAAATTATTTATATATAAAATTAAATAAAATATTATAAAAAAAAGCCAAAAATATTTATTTTAAATATAGTACATTCAAACTTGAAATATTCTATATAATTATAAATAAAAAATAATAATTTTATATACATATTTCATGAAATAATAAATTAAAAATCAAAACAAATAAAAACAAGAGAATATTGATATGAGTACAAATAAATAAAATAATTCATGAATGAACACATTAAAAACAAATAAAATAATATTTATATAATATTAAAATTAAAATAATTTGAAGTTTGAAAAATCTTAAAAGTAAAAAAGAAATATAATTTATAAAAATAAAACTATAAAAATTATATATATAAAAATAAAATTAATATTATTAAAAAGTAAAATCAAATAAATTATTAAAACATATATTATCAAAATGAAAATTATGAAAATAAAATGATAATACAAAACGATAAAACTAACAACAATTAATCAACACGAAATAAAGTCAATTGCATTGCGTGTAAAACAATAATTAATGTGCACAAATTAAATGTTAACAAAAATTTAATTAAATCATACAAAAAGTAAAACATAAAGAGGCAATTAAAGGCGCAATAGCTAAATAAATAACAACAACATTCAACAGCAATGAAATGTTTAATTGCGATCTGCCTCTTTACGCTTATATCCAAAGGTACAAAAGCAACAACAACAGCAACAATAATAATAATAAACAAAAAATCAGCAACAAAAGCAATTAGAATGAATTCGCTGACTGACAAAGTTTCGCTCACGATCTAACAACTCTTGCAGATGTGCAAACGCTGCTGCTGAACCAAATGGATTGGAAAAATCTGCTAAACAGTGGAGCGCTGGATGTGAACGTGTTGCGGTGTTTTCTGCGCGACAAAAACTTTTGCCCCAGTCCCTACATACAGCATCGTCTCTATGCGCCGTAAGTTCAGCGAGGCAACGTCTTCCTCTTCTGCCTCTGCCCTGCCGCTGCCCTGACAGCCAATTGAGCCTATGCGATAATCTCAACAATCTGTCTAATTTATGCACACAAATACAGTTTAAAGTTCGTATGCGAAACGTTTTCGGTGAAAGTGTGAGAAATCGGCAGTTGTGACAATTTGGTAATTGGAATTCTGGGCCCGATTATTAGGCCACTGGCCACAAGAGCGAAACAAACTTGTGCAACCACCAAGGATATGGGTGGAGAAAAAACCATTTATAGGCGTTTCAACTTGTTTTCCAATGTGACCTAGTTTGAGAAGATTCAAGAAGCAAGAGCATTGCAGTCGGGCGTCGCTGACTGCTGCATACTCGTTCCTGTTACGTGAATAACTAAATAGATTTGGGGTTTGTCCCGACATATATATATATATATATATATATATATATATATATATATATATATATCTATGTATTTATATTTGTAGTTCTATCTGTGTAGCAGATAAATTTTTAAAAAAGGTTTATAAGATTTGTAAACCTTTATAAATATTTGTCACGGTTCCGTTTTGAACGCTCAACATCTTAGCACTTTATAAGTCAAGTTTACAGATATTCTAAGCTTCAAGTCTTCAGCCAAAACCAATATACCCTTTTCACTTCGTGCACGGGTATAGCCACCTGTTGCAGGTGCCGGCCACAGGCGGTCGAAGATGACATCAATTGCTATTGGAAATAAAATATTGTACAAACGATGCTTTCGGCTAGTCGTTCAACCTGTCTGGCCGTCTAGTCTAACCCAAATGCGACCAAGTCCCAGTCCCAGTTCGACTCCAAGACCAACTGCAAGTCCAAGTCCAAGACCAAGTCGATGTCCAGGTTGAGCAACTGCAGTTGACTATTTTGGCCAGTGAATGTTGTGGTAATAAATGCCACAGATTACGTGATACATTGATGTTGACAACTCTGGAAATTTTCACTTGGAGAACGAATGAGGCCGATTAGAGCCAATTGAGGCTCATATTGACAAACATTTTAATGTATTTAACGGCCAAAGAAGTTCGGTTCACAGATATGCTAAGAATTTTACCAAGCAGAACAACTCATATAGCTGATATATTACTTTCAAAAATAGTTGTATATGTCTAGTCTTAAGTAAAAACTTTTTCTTTATAAGAAAATAGCTTCAGATCTAATAACAATATACAAGAATTTATATTAAATACCCAGCAGACCACAGTAAATTTGACTTTGAATTTAAATTTAAATTTTGGAGCGGCCAAAGACTTTGCAGCTCTCTGAAACATTTTGAGTTCTTGCTCTATTTTTCCATTTGTTACGCCCCAGTTTTTACACAATATTACTTAATTAATGTAAGCCATGCACGAGCCTGTTTCAAGTCTCTATGCAGCTTCAAATAACTTTCTGCATGAATATGCAGACACACGAACAGAATGCTACACAGACAGACATACAGGCGGGCAGACAACAAAATGAACGCTGCATGCATACGATATACTCTTGTCACTAGGCAAACGATCTACTATCTACGAGCTGCCCAACATGCAGTTTGTGATCTGCATGCCAATAATTAGACCCACTTAACTAACTATCAAGATATTGGATTATGTCACGTCTTCTTTTTCAACTTGCACTTGATACAATTGCTTTTTAACTTTCATGCATTCAGAAGACTCATGTATTAGTTGATTATTAATAATCAGTATATAATTCTCAACTGGTTATAGCGTAGTAATCAGTAAGACAATGAACGACTGCAAATAGAACCGATAGCTTCTTGGCAACTAGGCAGACGAGCTGTTTACTTTCTGCTTAACCCATATTTACCTCGTGCAACCCCTCATATGGCCTTTCTCGAATTGCCAGTTTCGCACATATATCAGCTGAAAATGGTGTCATTCCGTCGCTTCAAGCCATGGCATACTTAATCTCGTCGCGCCCACCCAAACGGCGTGGACTAAATATAAGCAGAAAATAAAATATTTTTCTCCTATAGAAATAGCTTAAAATGTGAAATTTGATAGTCAGAGTTTATGATGCTAATTCCAACAATACTTATCCTTAAACGTATTAAAGAAAAAGACGTATATACTTCATGCAGCGCGGTGTATTGACCCAGCATTGGCCATTGGGTGCTCTTAACTCTAAGCAAAGCATCATTAAATGTTTCTATATCGTTTGAGTACAGTCCGGTAATTTGGACTCTCTATTCTCTATTGGGCTCTCTCAGAAAATAAACTAAATTTGAGAAAATATTATTTAATAAATGTGGAAAACCCGTTTCTGAAAATATATAATATATATATATAATATTTCAATATTTTCAAAGATAATAGTGAATTTCAATTTTATGAATATTTATGTTCGCAGATGCTATCATTTGCTCACTTTATACCTTTTAATCTTTTGAATGTGCATAGTGTATGAAGGAATCTCGTACACGTCCGTTCTACTAATGTTCCAATATATTTTTATGTAAAATGTTTTTTTTTTTAATAAGTGTCCTTCCTAATATATGCTTCACTACAGAGACACATATATACTTATGTTTAGCTTATATAACAATTGGGTCTTTAGCGACCTTTTCATCTGGCATTATATCATGATACATGCATGCAGTTACTGATGCATAAATGGCTCAAATAACATAAGTTTGCTAAACGATTAGCTGCGTCGTTTCCTAGCTATGTATTTCAGTGCGGTTAAATGTCTGTTGCGTCATTTTCATCAGATTTCGCTTTTCGCTTGCAGCAATGGGCCGCGAGTCGGGCTGCCGCTGAACATACACAATCCGTTGACCCTGTACAAGGGCGGCTTTAGCAATCAGCGCGAGACGGTCTTCATAGTGCATGGCTTTAATGGGACGGCGGTTGACAGGCATCTGCAATTTCTGCGGGATGGTTAGTGAGTATGGAATTACTGCGCCAATCAGCGAACTGAAAACCTTTAAAACTTTTCTCTGCCTCCGACTTTAGCATATTTGTCGAGGGAATTTAACGTGATCACTGTCGATTGGCGCCCTTTGACACGTTATCCGTGCTACCTGCACTCGCTTATCAATACCCGCTTAACGGCTCAGTGCACCGCACAGGTGTATTCGTTTCTCACTCATTATGGCGCTGAGCGAGAGAAAATCACATGTGTGGGCCATTCGTTGGGCGCCCACATTTGCGGAATGATTAGCAATCACTTGACGAAGAAGCAATATCGCATCATTGGCTTGGATCCGGCACGTCCACTGATTGAGCGCAAGAAGAGCAATCGATTTCGACTCTCGCATGATGATGCCAGCGTTATACAGGTGCTCCATACAAATGCCGGCTACCTGGGCCAGGAGGATAATACGGGGCATCTCAACTACTGTGTGAATGGAGGCCGTGTTCAGCCGTTCTGCAAAGGAAATCCGATTAGTAAGAACAATATCGGTAAATATATTGAGTTGACAACTTTCATTTCAATTTATCAATATTTAGGACGTTATCGTTGTTCGCATTTTCTGAGCATTTGTTACCTGGCCACTGCCACTATGAAACATTCGAAGTTTATGGGCGTGCCCTGTCCAAATGGCTGCGTCAATTTATCAGGGCCTAAACGCTTGCCAGTCAACGGTAAAGTTAACCCATTTGAGTTTATATCATTGCTGCGAGAGTATAAAATAGGAAATGATGCGCCAGACGAGTAAGCAAAAGCGTCACTCTTAATTTAAATAAATCACCTTCCTATTAAATATTTCATTTATTTTTAGAGCTCGTGGCTGCATTTGCATTGATGTACCATTTGCTAAGCACTGTCCTTTTGTGGATTCATAGAAGTAGTCATTAGTTTTAGGTAATAATTCTGCTGTAAGCTAGTTATTAATAATAAAATGTAGAGGAAGTTACACTGTCTTTTTTTAAATGTTTACCTTGGCGCCAAATGCGTGGGATATTTTCTAGGGAAATTGTAATACCAAGAGCATAACCAAAACATCGATAACAGGTATCGAACAAATATGCAGTCGATCATTACTTCACCATCTCTAATTTACCAAACAGTCATAATAAAAACAAGTGAAGTGGAGGAAAAACATATAAATAAAGCAACTAATCATTTTGTATCTTTTTAACTGATAATTATCAAAAATGGGATGCGATGGTGGTACCATACCAAAACGCGATGAGCTGGTGCGAGTGAAGCAAAAGCCTGAGCAGGTAAGGCTTCCATAGTCCAGGTTCGTTTTCTCCCTAACAGTAATCACTCTTACAGAAAGACAAAGATGCAGAGCGTGAATTTCGATGGCTGCACTGTGCGTTGACCCAGCAGCGTTTACAGGAGCCCATTGCTATGTGCTCAATGGGACGCCTCTACTCCAAACAGAGTGTCATCGAGCGATTGCTGGAGAAGGAGAAAATGCCCGAAACCTCGGCACACGTGCGCAGTCTGAAGGACATCAAAACGCTCCAATTGACACCAAATCCCGCATTCACGGACGAGGACAAGACCGAGGGTTTGCTGGACACACGTCATGCACCATATATATGCAAACTAATTGGCCTAGAGATGTCGGGCAAGTTTCGCTTTGTTGCACTGTGGACCTGCGGTTGTGTCATGTCGGAACGCGCTCTGAAACAGATCAAAGGAAGCATGGCTAGTGCCTGTCCACTGTGCCAAATGCCATATGGCGTGGAGGATGTCATTGTGCTGAATGGCAACGACGAAGATTTGGAACTCATGAAGGTAAAAAGTGAAATGCGTGAGGCCAAGCGCAAGTCTGCTAAAAAGGAAAAGAAAAATGCCAAGAAAACGGAAACATGCGTCAAAACAGAAACTACTGATGAGATTGCCTCTACTTCTAACGCAATAGAAAAGCCCACCACCAGCAGCAGTAGCACCAGCAACAAGCTGAAAATGATAGCCAATCCGAAACGCTTAGGCGCTGTCAATGCTATGCAAGATCCTGAGTTAAAACGCCTTAAAACCGATTTTAGCGTAGCGAAGGATCCCAAGGCAACCGATGTGTACAAATCGTTGTTCACCAGTCACAAAACTGATAAGGAACAGGAACGCGCTCACTGGATCACCTACAATCCATTCTACAATTAATGCCAATATCTGACAAGGATGAATTTTCCCACTTGATCAGCCTCAATCCATTCTATAAGTAGAGTAGTATATATTATAAAGATTTGAATTTAGTTTGCTGTACGCTTTCAATCAGAATATTGTTCAAGTATAGACAGAAACAGTAGGTACTGTTTCATCTTAGTCTATGTAACTGATATTACACAAAATATTACAATATGTATCGCTCTTCCTATCAAAAGGGATTCCTTACGGTTCTTTACAGTGTGGGAAGTTCCCCTCTGGACAAATGGTCGACGTATGTGAGTATGTGGAAAGTTTTCCATAATAGGTATCTATATGAATTCGTATGCAGACAAAAAATGGTTATATCAAACGCATTTACGATGAGGATATCAAATCTTTGGTACTGGAAATAATGGGATCGAACGTCTCGACTACATTTATACATTGTCCCAGCGATTGCAAGGCAGAGCTTGGCATCAAGCTGCCTTTTTTGGTACTGCTCATCAAAAATATGCACAAATATTTTTGTTTTGAGGTTAAGGTGAGGCTAGCTATATGCTCTTTGAGGTTAGGTCTAATCTGTAATCGTTTGTAGATTCAGGACGATCAGCGCTTTATGCGCCGTTTCCGTGTATCGAACTTCCAGAGCAAAACATCCGTAAAGCCCTTCTGCACAGCCATGCCCATGGGTATGTCGCCAGGCTGGAATCAAATACAATTCAATTTGGCCGATTTTACACGTCGTGCTTATGGCTCGAACTATTTGGAGACTGTGTCACTGCAGGTGCACGCCAATGTGCGCATCAGACGCGTTTATTTCACTGACAAACTGTACACTGAAGCCGAACTACCCAACGATTACAGGCTGATGGGCAAGCCCAAGGATCTGAAGAAGGAAAAACAATTCAAGGCGCCGCCCACAGCACGCCCACCATCGCCTCTGAATACGACACGAGCCGAGGTGACGACAGCCAAAACCGAAGAGTCAGCTGGGCCAGTGGACACAGAGCCCGAGATGGACATGGGGGTATCCGATGGTGGGAAATCGGCACCAGTCGAAACTGCCGAATCTGATGCAGCTCCAGCAGAGGAGCCACCAGCACAGACCGAAGCCACCGAGGAAGCGTATTATTAAGATAATTCTGTCGTTAATGTTCCAATGTTCAGTTATGTTTAATTTGTGCATGCAACTGGAGAGGGGCCGTGGCCGAGTAGCAGCCAAATTAGCTAGTCGTAATTACATTCCAATGCAATGCTCGGTTTGAAATATATTTTAGTTTTCTGTTTATCTCGATTAAGTTGGGTTAGGGGGATTTGGGGCAGTCGTTCAGAAAAATTTTCCTTTGCCAAAAGCATAAGTATTCATTGAGTCTTCCCGATTCACTAATTAATTGAAATGCAGTCAAGCTAGGTCATCTGAAATCATATTCTGCAAGGCCCGCACAAAGGTCAGCCCAACTTTCCTTTTCTGAAATATTGAGAGAAATTCATTATATAATTGAGCGTCTCTCAATTTACTTTATTTTGTGTAATATTTGATATATACTTAGAATTCACTATTGTTTTTTGGGTATGGGACACTTGTTAACTACTGTTGGGCATAGCGGAGTAACAGCTAAAGTACGATTCATGAACATAATAGTTTATTAATTGCAAGACTCTTGACTCGAAAAACAAATTTCATTTTGCTTAAAGTCAGTCGTCTAAATTTTGCTAATAGGTAAACCTTAAAAAAAACTTTCACGCTTGTTAGCCGGAACTTTCGGTTTCTTTGGACGCAGCTAGGATGCGATGGCTTCGTTGGCAATGCTCAACATATCCGCATCGATGTTTTTAAGCGCGTTGTGATACTCGGTGATCTCCAGTGCTTCCCACTCGGCTTTGAAGGCTGCCTTCGGATCCTGAGGCATTGTCATTGCTGCGCCGGTCATTGCATCGGCTTGCGCTTGCGTTTGATCCGCATGGTTGTTCTCGCCGAGCACAAGTGTGTAAATGGAACGCAAGCCAAACACGTTCAGGAAATACCATGAAGCTGATGACACCCAGGCGGCATCCAAAGAAGCCAACTCCACGCCGCGCTGCAGCATGGGCTTAAAACGCAGTGTGAGAGGGAATGGAACTTTGGTGGTCACAAAGCCCGAAAACATCCAATTAATCCAGCCACCAATAACGACCATGGGTAGCACATTTATAAAGTTGCCCTTGACCATGTCCGTCAACATAGCCGAAGAATTTTGTGCGACCGGCGCCCGTTTCTGTGTCTTGAAATATCCCGTCTCCTCGTTGTTGAAAAAGTTCTTTCGCATGGAGAAGGACTGGGCACTTAGATATTTTCCATTCTCGCGCAGTAACCGTGCGCGAATCATGGCTTGACTGTGACAATGGGCAGGAAACAGAATTTCATACAAAAAAATTCAATTTTAGAAATGAACCTTGCTCACCTGTCCATGATTTGGGTCATTTCTGCCTTCTTTTGCGTGGAGATCAGAATGGACACGTAATGGCGCACAATACCAACTAAAAATGTGATTAGCACGATGGGCAAGAACACCCATACACGTATATCGGGATCTATTAGTAGCTCCGTCATATTTAATTAATAATTACAGTTAATATTTAACTAAATTTTCAGCACCCGTCGAATTCGGTGCTAGAGATGGATGTGTATGGAATATAAAAAGTATCGGAATTATCGAGTATCAATGACTGACAATAATCGATTTGGGTATACCATTTAAATGTAAAATATTTAAATTTATTTACATTTCTCTGACTGGCAACTAAACTGCTAGAAAAAATCTCCTTTGACAGCTTAGTGACTTAATAAAAATGTAAACTTTTAGCCAGAGTTAGCTTTTTAATAACTCGAGTACTTAAGGTTAATCGTCAATCGATATTACTACTCTTTATTTTATATATTTTAGTTTTAATACATTTATTTAATTTATATGTGCCTAATCATACGAGCTTAATATTTAGTTTACAATTAAATTTTGCCAGAAAAATGCTTATTCGTTATTGTTAGGTCTTTACCGTCATATACAATATTTTCATAAAAGAACTTGCGATTAGCACGACACTGTGGACCACATCTGGTTGAGCCACAATTGCGGCACTCGTACCAGCAGCCATCACATTGCTCGTTCATGCAATCGCAGACATCTAAGCCGTTGGATCTTATGTTTCCGTATTCATCATATACGCTGTTTTTTCCATAATAGCAAGCTTTCTTCTTGACTTTGCGCTTGGATCTTTCCGCTTCAGTACTGTTGTTATCGTCTATAGTTTCTTTACGCTGTGGACGCTGGCGCAAGCTTCGAGCACTCATTGCTTTTATATTTTTTTAATTTATATTTTGCGTACAAACTGCTGTAAATAGCAAGTATAAAAGTTGGCTTGTCGATACTTTCTCAAGCGATAGACTATCGCACAACCCTTAAATACGAATGAATTTGTTATCGGCAGACCGTATAACTAAATATCAATGCTGAGTGTGACCATTCCAATATACTACATTGGTTCAACATATGACCAAGTCAAATACTCACCTCCTGCGACGCCAATAAAAATAATTTAATTTATTGAACTATCAAAGAGATTGGAGCAATGGAGGCCAAAGCAGATTCGCCAGCAACAACAACGAATCCGACTCCATCGGCCGAGGCAGCCAAAGAAACCAGTACTACCGGTGTCGCTGCCACTGCCAATAGCAATGCACAAACGCCAGCAACTTCGGCGCCAACAGCAGCAACAACAGCCCCGGCACCAGCATCAACCAATAATTCCAGTTCCAGTACAGGAGCAGCAGCAACAGCTGCACCAGCATCGGCTACAACAGCAAGCACCGCACAGCAGCCCCTGCCGGCCAAAAAGCCAAGCGCGCCAACAGCAACGCGTGCGGATCCCAGTGCTCTGCCAACACGCCAATATCTCGACCAGACAGTTGCGCCCGTCTTGCTGCATGGCTTGCAGGCATTGGCACGCGAACGGCCCACAGACCCCATACAATTTCTAGCCTCGTACTTGCTGAAGCACAGCAACGGCTGCGAAGAGCCCGTGGCCACCGAAGCCAGCACTTAGATGTAGTTTCTCGTCTTTGTTCCCAACGTTTGCCCCGTTGCCCTAGCTTTGTAAGTGAAAGTCCCTAATAAATGTTTAAAATTACAAATACAAATATAATAATAAATCGCATTCGCGCACCATTCACTTAAACATAAGATAGATATATATTCCGTTTAGGCAGTGATAGGATAACCCCATGGATCCAGTTTATTGTTTAGCAGCTGCAGCGAAGTATCGGCAATCTTTCCCAGCAGCTCGGCAAGCTTGTGCTTCGTGTACACCTTGTAGAGCTGTCGACGCTCATCGGCAATCTCATCCGCCAGCCGTATGCAACCTGCATAATCGCCCGACTTAGCCAAAACATCGTGCAGCAGCAGCACGATCTCTGGCAGGCAAATAGAACGCAGCTTTTCCATCTGCAAGATTCGGCTCTCCCAGTGCAGCAGCGCTGAATTCTCTGGCTCTTTCGCGATGAAGGGATCGTTAAGCCAGCCTTTCTCAGGAAACAGCAGCACATTGAACAGGGCATCGGTGGTCACTGAAAGAGAAAACTGATTTTAGGAATTGTAAATTTAAAGCTTGACTTTTATCTTACGCTTAGATTGTTCCTTGACCTTTTGCTCCCAGCGTGCCACTTCAGTGATATAGGTCTGCTCTTTGTGTTGCGCATTCATGCGCTCCGTGAAATTGTCCTGCGTGTAGCCGGGCTTCTGTGTGTCCTTTTGTGGTGGTTGTGGGCGAGCCTGCTGCAGTCGTACCCACTCATTGAAGCTGTCCACGCCAGCCAAGTAAACCTTGTAGCACAGGAACTCCTTTAGGCTGCACTCTTCACGGGGTCCCAAGTTGTCCAGGGCGCCATAAATTGTGATCAACTGGCTAGTCACATCCACGGGCACCATGGCAAACACTTGACGCACACACTCAATCTTGTTGCTGGCCAAATAGTGACGCATCATGGCATTTGCCTGCCAGAGCAGCTCCCCTCGTTGCTCGACCAAATGAGTTAGATACTCGAGTGATTGAATTTTGCGTTTGTCGGCTGTCGAAATGGCTCCAGTTGGGGGTTCACCCAATGCGCTGGGTGGAGCATTGTCCAGTCGTATGCTCTCAACTGTGTGACGGGTTATTTGTTCCACATCCAGACCCGCCTGCAACGCCGCCTCCAGAGCCTGTTCACGTTGTCGCTTCTCATCAATTTGGGTCAGAAACTTGGCATAGAGCTGCACCTGTAGCTTATTGGGCAAGCCCGCCGTGTAGTAGGCAATGGACTGCGGATCTCCGCGCTTGATTAATGTCTCTACATAGGCCGCAATTATGCGTTCGGCCTGCTGTTGTTGTCCCTGCTGTTCCACTCGGCCAACCTGGCGCATAAACAGCACAATGTGCGCCATGAACCGCAGCTGATGGGGCGGCAACTGCGAGTCCTTGGGTACGGCATCCAGCCAGCGACACATATGCTGCAACAGCTCGCCGCAAGTGTCCAGTATGATATTCTGTTGTATTACGCCCAGTTGGCACTGGGCATAGTCCCGCACAGACACATCCTTGGCCACGCTAAGCTCATCAAAAATCTGTTCCAGTGTCATTTTGCCATTCCAATACTCGTCCGGCATGGGCTGATATCGTTTCATACAACAACCACGAATCTCGCTCTCCACACGAATGTCTATTTGCACCTTCATATACGCCCAGAGCAGATCTTGCCAGCTGTTGTGTAACAGCGTCTTCAAAGCGCCCAGGTGACCACAGAAGACGGCCGCCGTGGCGCGCGTGTACTCATCGTATTTTTTTGAGTCGGCTAACAGCCAAGCGCAACGCTTCCAAATATCACGTCGGGGATTACCTTCGATGGGCAACTTCTCATTCGTCTGACCGGGCAAATGCTGCTCATAGTTGGGATCTTCATGCAGACGCCAGCCCTCCAAGATGGCAGCACGCCAAGTTTGACCGAAGTGCTTGCACAGCTTGAGGGCTTCATCGATGTGTCCGCTGCGTATGGCTGCAAAAATGGCGCGACCCAAACGTACGTTGTCCTCCATGTCCAAAGCGTGCAGTGGTTTACCCTCGCGCACCGGCGCATCCGGATCAAGTTGCTTGCATATTTCATGGCCACGACCAAATGCTGCTCCCTGCAGATTCTCCAGCTGAAATAGCGTGTTTTCCCAGGCCATCATGCGATCGTGACTCTGTAACGCATTCGCTTGATCCTTCTCCTCATAGCACTTCTCCAACCAATCCACCACCATTTGATATTCGCGCAGCTGTGCATTTATGGAATACAGCTGCTGGATAACCTGTAAAATGAAAATTCAAGTTGAATGCAGACGACAGTAAAACCTGTTTAAAAACGTACCTCTTTTTCGCTACCTCCCAGCAGTGGACCATCCTGCATTTCATCATCCGCCTGCGTATCAGTTTGGAGCAACAGTCTGTCATAGTAAAGAGCATGAAGCAGGCGCCAGGTGTTAATCTCTTGCTTCAGCCATTTGACACTGGCCTCGCGCTGCTGGGTGCCGTGATTGCCGCCCATGCCGCGGTCAATTTCCAGCTCCAGCTGCTCGACAACCTGCTCGCAAGCCTGTGCTAACAGTTGCACCACATCCAGGGTATCGTTCGTGTTGTTGTGCGTGTGCAGCACCTCATAGAAATGTGCAAAGAGTAAGTCAATTTTGCCGATTCCGTGATCCGCTGCATCGATGTTATCCGTTAACAGAGTGCTGTCGCCGCTAAGGCTAGTCACGTCCAGTCCAGTCACTGTGCGATTCTGCATACGAGACAAAAGTCCCATAGCTCCAGAGCTGCTGTTCCTTAACAAGTCATGCTCTTCCGGCAGCAAAGTTATCGACAGATTGTGTGACTGATTGTTTTGCGTGCTGTTTAAAGGCTGTCGAAGTAGACTACGCCTATGTTGAAGTGGACTTTCCATGGTTGGGTTTTGTTTTGCTTATGTTATATATATTATAATTTACCCGCACGCGGCAAAAATGCCGGGACTCTACTTTGCAAGCTAGTTTAACACTATATTTAAGCTGTTTTACAACACTTGCTGTGTCTGATACGCCGCTCATTTTCATACAATTGCTTGAATGTAAATATTGAGTTTTGCTCATGTTTCATACGATTTAGAAAATAAATATATTTATTTTTTTCATATTTTGCGTTTCATCAATATTTAAGTACCCATATTGTACTTGAATGTAATTTAATTTATGTATGCAACTTATGTATCTAAAAATACTACTTCTATTTTACATGACATTCGTTGTTATTGTCAAACATATTTAGCGAGCAGCATACGCGCCTGATAGAGAAGAGTGAATGTCAAACTTGGGCATGCAACTTTGAATTGTCAACCAAATTGAAACGTGCCTGCGCCGAAAAATAAAAGTAAGCGTCGTTTTTATTATTTTGTTGTAACAATAAAAGGACGTTTTTTTGTTGTCGGTAATGTAATGCTTTAATTTTACGCACTGGCAGTGCACAGCCGCATAATTGTTGAAAATACAGTGTGGAATTGTATCAAAAATGGCGAGACACTGGCCAAATTGTTAGACGCTAATTGTGTAAATAAATGTATTACAACTGTAAACCTGAATTTTACTGTAGTGCAGTTAAATAATCATATATATAGTTTATATGGAAGAAAGAAAACCACAAAGAATCTTTTAAATGGCAACCAACTACAAATGTTAATACAGAAATAAATTCTATACAAACAATATATAATTAAGTTAAAAAACAACACAACAAAAGGTAAGAACCGGAAATTGATTTTTACCCACATACTTAAGTACATATGTTGGTATGTCTTTATTTATGTATGCATGTATACATATTTATGTATATACGCGCGTGCATACATACAACAGCGTACATTAACATACATGCATAAACGTATTTACATACACATATATACATATATGTATGTATCTAAAATAAATACACTTATAAGAAATCTACTCTACATAGTCGCCAGTCAGCGTAGAGGCAAACAGAAAATCGAATAACTCGAGCATATTACTTTTTTTGGACACATTAGTATATAAACAGTATTTCGGCAATTGGTATCGGAAGATGTGTTTATTTACTACGGCGCACAAACATACATCTATATGCCTTAGCGGTATTTTACTGGAGCTTCTAAGGGAAAGCATAAATAAATGTATGTAAAGTTGAAAGTTATAATTATATTAATCATTATTGGTATATACAATGTAGTGAAGGAAAAAAATGTAGACACAGCTTAACGGATATGTATAGTATAGTATATTATGGATTCTATATAAACATGAAATGTGCGTTCGCAGAGTTCAAGTTTCTTAATAAAAATAAAAAACATTAAAAAATATATATTTTAATTTAATTTTTAAATCACTAAGCTGTCAACAAATTATTTTTTTCCGATTAAATAATATTTTGTTTAAATGTTTTTAAAATTTTCTCTTTGTTATTTTTTGAACATCTGCAAAGCGCGCATAACATTTACATGAGCCTTGGGACTTAGCATTTTAATTGAATTAACATAAAAATCATTGGCATTCAGAAGGTCAAAGGCAGCACAGAAAAAACAGTAGAAAAACGGCTCCAGTGGACGGATAAAGCAGGAAGCAAAGTTCCTTTGCTGTATTAAATAATAAATTATTCCAGAGTCCAGTCCAGACCAGCGCAGTCCAATATATTTCTTATTTAAATATAAGGAATCAATGTACAGATTTTCAATCTTACAATATCGTTGACAGTTGCTAAGCGTTTCCTACTTATTCTGAATTACATTATTAGATATATATATTCAAATCAATAGATATATATATTCAAATCAATTCAATAACTTAAAAATATAGTATTCAATGCATTAATTCTAGTAATTCCTTCTGTATTTAAAGCCTTAACTCAATAACCAGACAGCCGTAGCAAATATGGCCGTGCAGCTTAAGAATGCGTATCATCATCTGCCGTTGACCATAACGCCGATACTCTGCCAGCCGCTGCTGACGCCGGCGCCGACGCCGCCGAAGCCGGAGCCGCCAGACTTGACATTTCATTGCATGTGCTGTGCCGAGTACTTTGTGCATCCACTGGCGCTCTACCAGCACATGAACAGCAAGCATCCAAACGAGTCGACGCCACAGCAGCAACAGCAGCAGCTGCAGCTGCAGCAAGAACAGGAGCAGGGAGCTGAGGAAGATAGCACGGACTATAGCTGGATATTTGAACCGGTCTGCGAGCTGGAAGTAGCTGCGGATGCAGCGCCGTTGCGCAGCGACGATGAAAGCGACTCCAACAGCGACGATGAGGCGGAGGAGGGCAGCGAAGCAGACAGCGATAATGATAGCGATAGCAGCAGCAGCAGCAATAACTCCAGCAGCAGCTCCTCTAGCAGCAGCACCACCAGCAGTAGTGGTGGTGGAGGCGGCGCCAACAGCAACTCCAATACGCAGCAGAGCTTGGAAAATGGCGCCTATGTGGAGGTGACATCAACACATCCCATGCGTGGCCTGCTGCCTGGAATACAGCCCAATGAATATCAGCTGCAGACAGCAGATCCGCATGAATCCACCTCCATTATACTGCTACAACCGACGCTGAGCATAACGCCACTGCCGGCGCCAGTGGTGCAACAGGCACCACCGCTGCCCACGCTGAGCTTGGAGCCTGCGCCCATTAAGCGCCGACGCGGAAGGCGCAGCAAGACGAATGTTACCAGCGACGGCCTAGGCGCTGCGGCGGCTGCTGTAGCTCAGCTGGGCGCCAATGGTCAGAAGTGCTTTCAGTGCACGCACTGCGAGGCATCGTTTCCCAATGCTGGCGATCTGTCCAAACACGTGCGCTCGCACATCTCCAACAAGCCGTTCCAGTGCTCCATCTGCCAGAAGACCTTCACGCACATCGGCAGCCTCAATACACACATACGCATCCACAGCGGCGAGAAGCCGTACAAGTGCGAACTCTGTCCCAAGGCGTTCACTCAGTCGAGCAGTCTGATGGTTCACATGCGATCGCATGCGGTGCGCAAGCCGCATCAGTGCGTGCAGTGCGACAAGGGCTTCATCAACTACAGCTCCCTCCTGCTGCACCAGAAGTCGCACTCGGCACCGGCCGAGAGCTTCGTGTGTCCGGAGTGCGAGCGTGAGTTTAAGGCCGAGGCGCTGCTCGATGAGCACATGCGCATGCACACCCAGGAGCTGGTCTACCAGTGCGCCATTTGTCGGCAGGCGTTCCGTGCCAGCTCGGAGTTGGTGCAGCATATGAAATGCCATATGGGCGAGAAACCATTCACCTGCTCCCTGTGCGATCGCTCGTTCACGCAATCGGGCAGCCTCAACATTCACATGCGCATCCACACGGGCGAGAAGCCATTTCAATGCAAGCTGTGCGACAAGTGCTTTACTCAGGCGTCCAGTCTGAGTGTGCACATGAAGATCCATGCCGGCGAGAAGCCCTTCCCCTGCCACATTTGCGGCAAGGCCTACAGCCAGCAGGCCTATCTCAATAAGCACATCCAGGCACATGCCATGGACGCCACGCCTGCGCGTCAGGCGATGCCGATGGTACCAGCGCCGAAGGAGACGCTCGTTTGTATTGTGTGCGGTGCACTGCACGCGGATGCCACTGCGCTGGCGCTGCATGTGACGCGAGAGCACACAGCGCTGCTGGACAACATGAAGCAGGCCACAATACCGCAGGCGCCAATTGCGGCGGGTAAATGCAGCGCCGTGGAGCGTCAAGCACAGCAGCAGGCGTACATGCAACGTGTGCAGTCGATGCTGCAGCAAATGAATCAGCAACAACAGCAGCAACCTGCCATGGATTCAGCTGGAGAGGATGAGGAAGAACTGGACGACGAAGACGAGCTGGACGAGGATGAAGAACAGCAACTGGATGAAGGCGTCGAGCAGATTGAGGCGCAGCAAGTGGCAAACATCGACGACGAAGACGACGACGGCGATGATGACATCGAGGATGACGACGATGAAGACGATGATGTTGAGGATGATGATGAAGATGAGCAGCAACTGATAACGGATGCAGACATGTATTACGATATGCCTGGTGATTTTGCCGACATGGAAGTGGGCTGCGAGGAGGAGGTGTGTGGCGATTTTATTGAGAATGACGATTATGCTGCCGAAGAGGAGGTCTACACCGAGGACATATAATAGCCGTTAAATGATATCAGAGTTAATTATGAGGTTACGACGCATCAGTTTTACATTATTATAATTATTACAAGTTGGATACAAATCCCTTTTGTAACTACGGCTAGGTGAACACGAACTCGCGAACAAACACAATTTTTTTAGTTTAAGTATTGTTTTCTGGCCATAGTTATTATATTGCTTACGGTATTTAAATCATTGTCACTTTCATGCAACACACAACACACAACACCAGCGACATTAACCTGAAGTACCTAGCAGAGCTCTTACATATATTTAATTGTTCTATAGACTTTTATGTTTAAGTTTAACCCCATCTATAATAGTCACTTGCAGCTTGCAGAAGCTTCAACTTCCATCGGTTGCTAACCATCTCTCGCATATCAGCTTACAGTATCTATAAGATTATCTCAGTCAGAGCTCTGCGCAAGTACATGTCCATTCGAATGCACCACTTTAAATGGTATTATACTTTAGTATTAAGCTACCTACTGTATGCTGTTCATTTATCCAATGCCCCACACTGAATTGTGGGTCATACTTTTTCCCCCAATTGCAAACAAAACACCGCTCATTACTGTGCGGCCCCTGAAGAGATTACATTAATCGTTACCTTAAACAGATTAAAGCTATGTACTTTATTTAATGCAAGATATCTTGAGGAGATGGGGGGAAGACAATCTTTAATCTTTACAATTTCAATCATAGCTCTCTCTAGCAATGCTTCTAAGGCAGAGAAAATAAGAGAGCAGAGAAGAGGAGGAAGAGCCGAGCAGTGACGGGCAGCTCTTAAGCCACTACTATCTTTATATTCTACAACTGGTTTTGACATCTAGCCCTATCTTTAATCTCACACCATTTACATTAAGTTATGAAATCAATTTAATTGATTATATGCACAAATTGATTAGAGTCTTGTAAAGTTGAGTGGAGCTCCTCCAGCAGCTGGTTGATTCGCATCGATGGTTTCGGTTTCGGCAATGCCAAACATGCCAGCCAGTAGACATCCGCTAGCCAATGGATCTTCTGGCTCGAATCTAGCCGGTGGCGCTATGAGCACATCGTCGCCCTGGTAGACGTAGGGAAAGCGTAGCATCCAGTAGGCACTTTGCGAGAGGCGCGGCAATATGGCACAGCCCAATGTGAAGGTGTATTTGCCCACACGCACCTTGGGATCGACAATGATGTTAACGGGCGCCTTAGGCGTGACCACATGAATGCGCATTAACTGCGCCAGGAAAGTAACCTGTCCGCGACACGGACAGGGAAAGTACAATGGCATATTGTTGTTGACCACTTTGCTGCTGGTGTCGCGTTCAATGTCCGCACCGCCGCGCAGCACGCGGTCCGGGCTGCACATCATGAAGCGATGACCACGCGAGCACTCGTACTCGAAGCCCACGAAGATCTTGAGGGCCAGACGATCGCCTTGCTTGCGATAGCGCTGACTCTTCTTGCCCATCAGCTGTTGCTGCTGCTGCTGGGGGTGCTTATGGTGCGGTTGGAGTAGGCGCACGTGCACATCCCAGGGCAGCAAAAAATTGGCGCCAGATAGAAAACCGCTCTGGAAGTGCTCCTGCAGCCCGGTGTTGTGACTGTAAATGGAACTGGGCCCCACACAAGCTAGCGACCAACTGGGGAATAGCGGCAGCAGCTCACAGCCGCTGTACATATGCACCAGTCCAGGCAGATATTCCGTGGTTGAGACTAGCTCAGGCATCGACACAGCCGATTGTGATTCGGGAAAACTCTCGCCTTGTGCGTCGTTGGAAACCTCCTGATCAGTGCGCTCTTTGAGCTGCAGCACCAACTCGTTTTCCGTGTTGGCACTCGAAGTGCCGCTGCTAGTGCTGTTGCTACGACTGCTCTGGCCACTACTGCATATCTGTGAGCTGATTTCGGGAGAGTCCACCTCCTCGCCCTCGTGAAGCGAATCGCCAAAGCCAGCTATGGACATGTTCAAGTCGGAGCCATAAGTTGCCGACAGAGGTTGCGAGCAGCAATCGCCTGATGCTTGATGTTGCTTCGGTGGCGCTTGTTCGGCTTCTTTGATTGGCTGAGAATATTGTTCTTCAGCTACATCGGCATCTAGATCGCTATCGTCCTGAGCGGTTGGCTCGGTGCGGTTTTTGGTAGCTTGCAGTAGCAGCGGGAAGGCGGCCTCAAATGCCGCCGCTCGATAATCACTAATTGACGGCGTAAACAAGGGAAACTGAAACTTTTTAACCTTGACGCATAAATTGCACATGGGAGCCATTTGTTCATAATAATCAAAGTTGGCCTGCCGCAGCGTGAACGGATCCTCTCGCCTGCCCTGCGTACGTCCACAATTACAGCTGGAGACGTGCACAATGCCGCTGTTATGCTTATCATGTGCGACATCCTTGGCCAGAGTGCAGGGATGGCCGCGCAGGCTGAGCTGTTCACATTGCTGTCTGCCGTCGTGCCAGTACTTTAGGCAAATATCGCTAAGTTTGGCTAACGCCAGCTCTACGTATGGACCACGTCCGTCATCCTCAAAGGCAAGTGTGGCATCCGCCAGCAGCTGACTGTGGGTGGTGCTGCCATATATGGCAGGCGCAGCATGCCTATAGGCAGATACGGCTTTCTTTAAGCCCAGTTCACACAGATGGCACCAGAATCTGTTGGAAATACGAATTTTTAGTAATCAATGGAGTACGGAAAGGAATCCCTTACTTTTTCTCGTAGTTCAGACTATCATTGAAGTCCCGCAGATAGGCTTGCTGTAAGAAATTATAATTAATATATAAAGATTCCCTTGTATATGTTGGCTTACATAATTTAGATTATTTGTTACGTAGCTAGTTTCCTGAACATTTTCGATTAGCAGCTTGTATATGGCATCCATGCAGATGTGCCAATCCTTACAGCTGAGCAGATGAAATGGAGGCGATTGCGACAACTGCTTAAAGGAGCCTTCGTCAAAGTATCCCTGTAGAGCATCCTGCACATGACGCTGCATAAAATGCCAAATTGTATGTTTTGTCTTGTACAAATTCTCCTTGGACTCGCGCGCTTCATAATCCTGCCCAAAGGGCTTGACAAAGCCCTCGAATGGGGCGAGCGATAGAATTTCCAAGTCTTCTTCCTCTTCTTTGGCATCCGGCTTGTGCATGGTCAAGTTGAGCGCATTAACTGCATGCAACAGATGATCCGGACGCAACTCCTCGTGGGCATTGTAGAACACAAATTGCTTGTTGTTGGGCAGCGCCAGCAGCGAATTGTTGGCGTTGTTGGTTAAGATATTGTATTGACGCAGTAGCTGGTAAATCTTGTCTTCCGTCTTAAACTCATAGCTGGATATAAGTTCACGCGTCTTTTCCTCATCCTGTGGATAGTTTTCAAAGAGAAAGAGAACACGCGGCGTGCAGACGCGTGCTCTGTCGCCGAGTATTGTTCCTGCTGCTGTTTCGCGCAGCAATTGAGGTAGGAATTCCAGCACATGCTGCTCGCGTACATACTTTAGCAGCTGGCAGATGGTCACCAGTGTGGTGTCGAATGTCTCTGCGGTCTCAACATACACCAAGATGTGACACACGTGCAGAGCTAGCAGCATAATGCGTACAAATTGGCTGCGCATTTGCTCGTAAAAGCTGTCGAAGTCAATAGACGTTTGACTTAGAAGCTGCTGACCTAGTATCACCTGGTCATGGGTGGTTTCAAAGTGCAGCATCAGCGTATTGGTGCCTGGCTTATAATAGCATAGAATCTGTCCATCCGCCGGCTCATGAGACCTATCCGGCTTCATATCGAAGGCGCTCATTTTGTTCGCCTGCGAACATTTCGAGCGTCCAATAACGCCGACAACTACCAGCGAGGTTTTCAGCTCCGATAGCATAGACCTATATAATTGTTCGTAGTCAACTTTTGCTTATTTTATTATTCAACAGACACTTACTCTACATTTTCAGGTATGTCCGGATATTTCCAGGTGTAATAATTCTTGGAGCTCATATTTTGTATGCAGCGGTAGCAAAAACAAAACAAACATAAACAAGGCGAGATGACAGCAATTGTATCGATGTATCGGAAACATCGCCATATGAGCTGATAGCTATCGATTAAACATGTTACTGTACGCGCCAAGAACTATCGCCGTTTGAACTTCAGTAACCTCACCCGCACAAATAAAACATACAACTCTGTTTGTTTTTCTAAAGCAATTAAATTTTATTGTAAACTTTTGCCATTTATAAATACTTTTAGCATACCTTACAGTTTTCCGTATGCCATAGCGTGTGTGTATTTTCATTCCTTTCGATACTTTTACTTCAATTATTAATGTTAAATGAGATTTAAAGTGCATGATTAAGTATAATGTATAATGTTTAAATTTGGAGCTATATAATGTTCAATTAAGTATGCGTGTTTGGCTTAATGAGCACCTAAAATGATTTATGTGTTTTATATATTATCATATTTATGCAAAGAGCATGTTAAGAGAGTCTACTAATACTATGTGGGGGCATAATTAATAGAGCATACAATAGAGTAGACTGATAGAAGAGAGTGCGTTATTCATTCATTCGAAGAGACTTAAGATCAATTATTAAAGTGCTAAAATGGTTTATTAAATGTATCTTGTTTGTTTGTTTTGTTTATTTATTTGCCATATTGAGCACATTTAAAATACTTTTATGTTTAGATTTCAATTGCTAGAAATACTAGTATTTACTACAAAGAGCATCGTGGAGTGAAGAATTTGAATGCTTCATCAAGGTATTTACAAATTAATTTGTTTGGGAGTTTGATGTTTCAAAATTCGTCTCATTTCATGATTGGGGCTTATGTGGAGCTAGCGGGTTTCGACATTTTATTTACATTGTTTAAATAATTAATTATGAAGTTCTTTGTGCTTTGAATAATTGTGTATGTACTGTTATATTGCAACTGTCGGCTCAGTGGAACATCTTAGAAAGTTCCATTTAATATTAACAAAAATAAAAAAAAACTAAAACTATTCATGTTTTATCATGCTAAGTGTAAACGTTTTTATTTTCTTTTATTTGTTTTTTTTTTTGCTGGGCATAAATATATTTTCTTGAACAATCAGATGTAGTTTTCAGTATTTAATTTGTATTGTATTTTTGTATTATTAGTTTTTAACGGTTTCATTCGCAACATTCTTACTCCACGTTTTGGCAGTGAACCTGAGCTAACTTCTTTGTTTTCTTGTTCAATTTACTTTACACAAACATTTCCATTAAATATCTTGTACACGACTTTATTCAAATCATCTTTAAGGTGGCTACAATATTTAAGCACATGATGAGAACATATTTATTATGATTGATTCGTTTAAATAAGTATAAAATGAAGCACACATTAGCAAAGAAAATAATTTGTATTTGCAACAACCAGAGTGTTTTTATTTAGTTTATGTTTTATTTTTATTTTTTTGTTTGTTTTCCAACATTTTATTTATGTTTTCCTTGTTGTAAATAGTTTTAACTACACACGCTTTTAGAAAAAAACTTCTTTGCATTACAACTAAACAATTTTATATTATTTTCAGGCCATTTTTTATGTATATTAATGTGGGTTTTTTCTTTTATGAAATATCATCACAAAATTGATGAATTTATGATTTAAATTTTCTTATGGCTAATGATGCATTTTTTAAATTAACTCTAAAACTTTGAAATTAGCGGGGAAAATGCAGTTACGAAAAGAAAAACTATCAAATTGGTATAACCTTGGAAAATTATAATTTAATTGCATAAATTTTATTCTTTGTTCTTGGATCTTAAAGCAGCTAAACTTAAAATTAAATTGTATTTCGCTTGCGTTTTATATGTTAGTATATATATGTATGTATTTCTTTTTATGTTTAATGATTTCTTTTATTTTTAGTTTTATTTTTATATTTTTTATAGAAGAAGCAGCGCAATTTACAGCGTTTTTGCACGATCCAAAAGATCGCTGATGAACTTCGATATGTCCGATTGCGGGCGTTTGCACACTGAGAGTAATCTCTGCGGGGAAGGAGAAAGGTTTTGAGATGTAAGAAATACTTAGAATCAAGTTATACAAAAGTACTTACAATAAGATGAGATCTTCTTATGTCGTCTGTGTCCATGTCTAAAATTTCATCAATATCCACATCGATCGCCTCACTCTGCATAAGATGGGACAATAAATAAAAGGACTGTCTGAGTCGGAGTCATGGCGTGCTGTCACTTACCGGTGGATCAAAGAGCTTTTGCAGCTCATCGTATAGCCACATTTCGACAGCCAGACGCTTCCTGATCAGGCTCATCTGATGTGAGCCATATTTGGCTGTGAGAAACTTTTCGCGTCGCTCCTTAACCTCGGCGCCCTTCTCATTGAAGTTGACGCGCAGATTTGTTCGGTTCGGCGAGCGTTCGCAGTCGTTCATTTGCTCCAATCCGCACTGCATCTTCCAAGAGCTAAATGCAATCGCTTCCACTTGTAGTTGGGTGTTTTTTTATTGTTATTAATTAACAGTGCAGCGTTTATTGAACCTGCAACTGCGACCACAATTAATTGGCGTAGCTGTAATTGAAAGCAGACAGAAATTGGTCTTTGCAATGCATTCCATATAAATACACTATATACATATATAACTGTATATAAAGCGATGTCAATTGAATTAAATTTAATATTATGTAATTGTGGCTGCGAGCTACTTTCCTTATGCGTCATGCGCACCAACAGTTCGAACTGTTAGGCCCCCCAAACATAACTTCGAATTCCTGTTATTAATGCCCGTCTTGGCCCAGAAGCATTTGCAAATTCCCGCACCTATGACTCACCAAAGAGGCTTCCCATTGGGAGTGAGCTCCTCTGTTTTGGCTCTGGCTCTGACTCTCGCTGGCCATAAAGTCTGCCTGTGATTCATGCTATGCTGTGTTTGTGTTTATTGTAGCTCTATAGCTGGAGTTGTGTTCTGTTTTATCTATGGCCAAGACTTGACATGCGAACAGCAAAAACGAATAATTACCCACATTCCACTGCCCACGTTTCACAGCTAATTTAATTAATGTGTAATGCATGTAATGAATGCTCCTCTGATTTGACTGTGGCCCACATGACATTTGACTTGATGTTTTGACTTTTGTTTTTGGGAGCTCAACTCACCAATACCACTCCAACACTCACATGTGTCTATCTTTGACAGCTTATCACAAAAACTTTGGTCTAATAAATCATATATATATATATATATATATATGTGTGTAAGTATATATACGGATATTTTATATATAAACGAGGCCAGGATTTCATTTATCTTAATTTATTTACAAAGTGTGATTACATTTTTTCATTCAATATAAACTAAGATTATAAATAAATTCTCTAACTTTATAATTCATTTATAATTTCTTTTCCTATTCAATTTTCTCAGAAACACATTGATTTTAAGGGTTTAGTCTAAGTGCTTGTAGTTCCACCTAAATATATAAACTAAAACAATTCCCAGAAAAAATTAAATTTTTTACTCGCACTTTACTTATTTTCGGAAAAACTCGGTGAAAAATATACGTATTTCACAAATATTTTTTTAAGCTGTGAAAACAAATGAGAAATTCAAAATGTTTACAATATAAAACTAAAATTTTTTTAAATTCAATTTTGATTGTTAGTAAAAATGCGAATTTAATTCAATGATGCTACGCAAAAGAATTTATTACCAGCCCGCTGTGGGTGATACACTTTTAATATATATTTATATTTATATTTATATATATATATATATATATAATAGAAATATATAATAATCTAAGATAAATATTATTGGGCTCTTACAGGAATATTGAATTGTTGCCTTTCATACAAAGAAGTATCTTATGTGGGTAAATATAAGAGGGCTGCTTAAAAAGTATCGCTGAGTCGATATTCAACTGACTTTATGTTTGTATTACTAACCATACGTTATGAGTATTGAAAAAATGGAGATTACTTTGAAGAATACAAAAGAGATTAATTAATAAATTAATTAATAAATTAATAATTTAAAAAAATCACAAAATTTAAGAATTAAATCATCTGAGCAGAAACACCATTAATTTATAGTCTCTTTACTTCCATTAGAGTTATGAATATCACGTTCCAAACATTCATTTCACCTCAAATAATATTCACAGTTTTCCACCTTTCAATAAATGAAATATAAACAAAGTCTCACTTTGTACTTGAAAATTCTAATATATAAAAACCTCAGATCAGTTGATAATTTTCAATCATTTTTGTTTATGTTTATGGCAAATGTCAATTTGAATTTGCCATTGAGACGAACTGATGGAGCGGACGTGGAAGTTGTTGGCTGCAGTTAATTGATTCGCGCATTTGCAATGCAATTTGCTGTCCAAATTGGCAGCTCGCTGATGGCTTCTATACGGGGCGCTCTCTAATTTGAGGCTAGTCACATTTCCTTTCACAACGAATTAGCCAACAGGCAATAGGTAGTAGGCAGCAGGCAGCTGGCAGTAGGAGAACGAAAGCACGGGCTAAATTGAATCAAATCAGTGGCGCTGGCAGAAGGCAAGTGGTGGCAGCACATGTGAAAATATGCATGTGGAACCATCCCGGAAGTTTCCGCAACGCTGCACAAGGGGCTGAGTGGGTGGGAAAACTGTGGCGTCTGTCGACAGTTGCAATGTTGTTACAATTTTTCGTAGTTACCCAGCAATTGCTCAGCGCAGCATGCAACGTGTTGCATGTGTGCGTTGTTTTTTGTTTTTATTGTTGGAGGCCATTTCAACATCATATTTATGCAAAGCTGTTGTTGCTGTTGCCACAACGTTAGATGTGGCAAGCAATAATAATAAAGGTAGCAGGCATACATAGCAACTTCACTCAGGTCTTGCAATCTTATGGCAATCTAGAGTCAACGGTCAAATGCTCTGGCGCAAGTTGTTTTCATTTTATCGTTGGGAAAGCTAGGAAATTCCTCGCATCATTTTTCAATGCAAAACATTTGCGCAGATCCCACAATTAGGGCGACGCCATGAACCTGAGAACTAAATAAACGCCTTCCTAAATGCTAGCATATCATGCCAAGGGCCCATCATAAGTCGCCTGGCCCACTAGGCCAACGGATCTGCACAATTAGTCGCGATGTAAGGCAATTTCCGGTATTCAAAAAACACACACTCCAACTGAGTCCAAACAAACAAAAAGCGACCTATTTGGCTAAGCAAAGCCTCCCCTGCCCCTCCAGACATTCAGCTGTCTCATATTACCTACTCTGCATTCTCGTTCTCTCTCTCTGTCTGTGTCTTTTTCTGTTTCTTAGCTTGACATGCGAGTGACAAGTTAAACGTCAGTTTCATAATTGCTTATGACTCTTAAATAAATCTGGTATCAGATTTCGCCACACACACACACGAACACACAACGAGCCGCCCAATTGAATGGTGTGAAAAAGACAGCAATAGCTGAGAAGTGAACGCATAACTCAGCAAAACTCAGCGCGATTGTTATTTTTAGTTAATGGTCGGAATATTATTTGTTTTTTTTAGATGCGGAAATCTTTTCGCGTTGCTGTTGCCACACTCACTGAAAATATTACGCTTGCCACATGGCCCGCATTGCAGGCGAAACTATTTCTATTTATTATTTTGGACACTTTGCAACTTTATGCAACACAAAATTTAGTTGAGGCAATGTTGGTGCGTGGGTTCAGATGCCATTGTATCATAGATAGCCGTGAGGCCAATCAGTGCCAGCTGCGTGTCGTCCCAGTTGCCATTGACGTTTTTGCTGTTTGTTGGGTTAAATATAGGTGAACAGACACAGGCATATGTCAACGTTGAGAATGTCACAGCAAAAAAAAAAAAATGGTTTGTGCCCTTAAATGTGTTATAAATATAAATGCTGCAAAATTGTAAAGTCCTTTTTTTATTTTACTTTTGGTGGAGAGAGGCTTAAAAAAGAACAATTCTAAAATGTCAATGGAAGAACTTAGAAGGGAAATGGGAGTTTATTTATAGGGCTTATTTAGTAAATAAAAATTTTACATTTTCATAGTGCATTTAATGTTTTCATTTAAAAAACATTTATATTGAATTTTAGTTACTTTTTGAACTCTTTTATATAATATGTTTTAATAATTGATGAAATCTTTACAGAGTTTTGTCTATTATATTTATTTTATATTTTAACAAATATTATTTTTTAATTGTATATATTAATATGATATTTGGAATAAAATTTGAAACTGTTGATGACAAAATATATAGCTGGAACATTAGTCATTTCATAATATTTCTAAAGATAACCGAAAATTCTACAGCTGGCAGCTAATGCCGATTTCACATAGTTATCAGTTCCATAAAAAATTAATCAGCTGCACTCCTTAGAAAGTATCAGTTCATTATATCAATGAAAGTATACAGAAACAGAACGGTGAAGCTCTACATAGGTAGGTATAAAGCAAATGATAAATTTAAATACATAATTATTAATATTAATTAAAAATATGTTATATAAAAATATTAAATATATATTGTAAGTTGATTATATATATATATATATATATATATATATATATATATATAAAGTAATTTGACTCCGTTACATCAAAGAGTTGACGTTTGTTAAACCAATAAAACATCAGCTCAATTATGCCTCCCAAATTATCCGCAGCACAAGCACAAGCCTTTCAGGCTAATCAAATTTTGTCAAAAAAAGACGCAAATTCAATGAGCCATCAACTACACAAGAACAATAAGTGGAAAATAAAGAGCAGAGCAAAGCTGCGCGCCCAAGAGTGGTAAAAACGCTTTCAAGCAGCGCCCAAAGCAGAGGAACAAATCGGTAACGGCAGCTACCATCTAATTGATTTTTAAGTATCGCCAAAAAAAAAATGAACAACAGGGGGCGCTCCAATGGCGACTGGCGTCTTTTATGGCACACTCTTTGAAGTATGTGTGTATGTTTGTTTCGCCCTCCTGCTGCCCATTTATGGCAAAGATGCAAATCACACGCCACAAAATTGAGAAGTGGCGCAATTGCCGTTAAGACCTTTTACGACATCAATGTGACCAGTATATATACTTTATACTATATATGTTTGTATATGGAGTATATTTGCTCGTTTAGGCGCTCAATTTCGAGACTTATGAACAAGGTCTGGCGCAGAAAATCTATGCTAATATTAATGAAATAACCACAAAACGCTTAATTATTTATTAATAGCTGTGACCATTTATGGCATGGCTTCAAAACAAAAACAAGAGTTCATTAAGGAAGCGGGCTATATAGAAATAGGCGACTATTAGATATCCTGTATAATTATAGGTATTAATATGCATGAAATTATGAATAATTCTTTTGCTTTTTTTTCTAGTAGTATTAGAAAATAAATGTTTATATTTAATATAAAGAAATTTGTCTTATTGTTTTTATACATAAAACAAATTATTGCTATTACGACAGATAACAAAGTAATTTGATTAATTATATAATCCAAGAATTTAGTTCATTTAAGTCAAGCTTTATTTGTTGGGCATATTTAAATGAATTAAAAATGTGCATCAAATATAAATATT